CCCTTCACCCCCTCCACCCTTCTCTATTTACATAGATTTTGTTTCCAGTTTTTTTTCTTTTCTCATAATTTTTCCTTTCCCTTCTTCCCTTTCTCCTTCCTCTCCCACCACCCCTACACCTTTGGACCTTTTCCTATTTCAAATTATCAATTATTCATTTCAATCATTTTAATCCTTATTTACACTTTCAGTTCCTCACACTAGAGAAACTACTCGGTGTTTACACGTTTGTCCTATTTATTTCACTTAAGTATCACCTCAATGTGCATCCACTACATCTCTGTTTTGCCTGTCGATTCTTCTTGCTAAATTTTTACATTAATTGTGTTGCCCCACAACCTCTCCAATCTAGTTTCTCTATTTTTCTTTCCCTTTGTCTTTCTAATTGCTGAAGTCTAATTGCAGAGACAAAAGCTTACTTTGGTAAGATTTCCTATTAATTTCTTTAATAAAGCTTAATGAGATCCTCTTTTATCCTTTTTCTTGCCTATGACCTCCTGTTCTTACACTAGCATCATAAAAATATGACTTAGTTTTTACTCCTAAGGAAAAATTTAGATTCCTTCAACAGGTTTTACAGGATTTAACTGTACTGACAAGAACTAAGAACATCTTTAGGCCTTTTATAAGTTTAGGAAACTGTTACTGATCACAAGTAGACTTAATACCCAGTATACAGCCATGGGAGAAGCCCACCACTCAGACTCCAGACTTATAGACTCAGATGTGAAGTACAGCAGAAGCAGAACTTTAATGGTGATTCTGCAGAAATAGGTGTCTGTCTGGACTCACACACACCTGATTCAAACAAGCTGTGTCTTTCATCCAAGTACCTTATAAGGTCCCTTCCCCCCTTTCTCATTGTCTGAGGTCAGGGAGTTACAATCTTCTCAATTGCCATCTAAGCGCCCCTTGGTTTTTCAGTAAACCCAGATTATGGAATGTTGTTTGCTTATCATTTATCTAGTTCTAACATAACCATAAATCCTACCTATCTCTTTAATATAACCACAGTGAAAGGAGAAAAATGGAAAAAAGATAAATACTCTCTGATCTCTTACCTCCTGTCAAACTCAGTTCACTGGAATTAAAGTCCAGACCCATCTTGATGGGACCTCTAATATGACATAATTAATTTTGTATAAGCCCAAGTTCTTTGTCTCCAAAAATTGAAAAAATTATTTGAGGACAAAGAGGATAATTTCGGAGAGTGCTTATTACAAATAATAATAAGAAACACAGCTCTTGGTTGATATCCACCAAGAGGGCAAAGAAGTCCACCATTTTTTCTTGGCTGTATATAGATAAGCAAAGCATAGTGATTTATTTCAAAGAATATGAGTTCAAAAAGAAATGGATTGTCTTGCATTTCTTATTTTCTCCAGTTCTAGTCCAGTTGTCCAGAGGGTAGAGAAAAGTTATTAACTAACTTAGCCTATTTTCTTCCTGGGAGGAAAGGTCCTCATGTCTCTTCCTATTGTAGCTTTTGTCATTCTTATGTTTGTCTCTGCATCTCTAAGTTTGGCTTAGCTGCTTGAAATAGCTCTTTACCTGCATGGGTTATTTTATTTTCTTGTATATGACACTATCAATCCTCTTTGAAGCCCTGCTCATGATAACTAAAATAAACCACTACACTGGCCCATTCTGAGCCTCTGACTGCTCTGAGTCTCCATAGAGACCCTTTGGAGGGACAGGAGGCTGCTCTGGTTTCTGCCTGTGACCCAGCCCAATATCTCCCCAGCTGGAGATACATCCTGATCATCTTGAGACCAGACCTACCACTGGACCAGCAAAACATAGAGCAGACCCACCTGGCCCCCATGCTCCAGAACCAGACCCAGAAGCTGACAGGCATGGAGGATCAGGTAATGGAGAATGAGTTGGTGGGTAGCCAGGTTGGCACCTTGCCTTGGCCCCTGTCCCTGGGTCAGGTCAAAGCCTCTTCTGGGCCATAGGCTCCTAGACTCCCTCCCTAAGGACCCAGTCCCATCATTACCACCCTCCCTCCAGACTGCAGGTCCTGGGTGGCTAGGCAGACATTGGGCCCAACTTTGCAGCCTGCATGCAGTGCTCAAGCTGGGCCAAGCCACAGGAACAAGAAAACAGCATAATCCCTATGGCCTCAAGGGTTTAAGGTATATGGGGAAGATGGATGGTGAAGAATCCTTTAGGCCTCAGGGGCCAAGGACTCCCTGAGCAATGAGAGGAAACAGGGAAAGTTAATGGACACGCTCATGAGTGACAAGTGGGTACAGGCTTTCTGAACCCCACTGTGTGCCAGGCCCCATTCCAAATGCCTGGTCCCAGTTCAGAGCAGTACATAGGACACACATGCATCCCTATCCCACAGAACATACCAAGAAAGTGAGCAAGATAAGGAACATGTAAGTTACACAGTGACCATGCTAAGAAGAGAGAGCTAGGTGGGGTCTCCTGGGCGTGGTGGGAGGGACGAAGCTGCTGGTAACGCTGCAAGGCTAGAAGGGACCACTAAGGAGCAGCACTGGAGCCTGGCTCAGTGGGCAGTGTGTGTCAGTCACAGAGAAGACCATATGCAAAGGCAGGAGGTGGGAAGATGGGAGCAGCTCCAGGAATGTAAGGACACTGGCGTGCTAGAGTAACCGGGGGAGAGCAGCAGGTGGAGCCAATGAGGTGATGCAGAAGATCATCAAGGGCTTGGCCAGCCATGGTGAGCACCGGAGGAACAACAGGGGGACTGTGAGCAGAGGGAACTCATTTGGGAAGTCTGCCTCAGGCTGCTGAGCAGGAAAGGACTACAAGGGCCAAGGGTGGGCCAGGGAGCCTTGTGAGGAGGTCATTACAGGACACTGGGCAAGAGACAACAGAGGCAGGGGCCATGGAGGAGGCCATAGAGGGAATAAGTAACGGACCATTTGGAAGGGGTTGATAATGGCACTTGCTGGTGGATTCCATGTGAGGTCAAGAATGATCCTCCTGGAGTCTGCACAACAGGAGGACTGGAAGTGTCACGAGCAGTGATGAGGGAGGGCAAATTCAGGAAGCACACCATACACTCAGTGCATGAGTGAACACAGGGACTAATAACTTGGAGGGTGGCTCTGAGTCAGCAAGTGTCAGCAGTGACAGGTTTGTAGGCAGGCTGATGGCAGCTGATAGATACCTGCAGGGATCATGGTGCCCCCCACTCTCCTGCTCCCTGGGACAGGTCCTGAACCAGAAGTCATGCATGGAGATCCAGATGATGGAGATTCTACTGACCATCACCAAACTAGAGAAGCAGCTGCAGGAGCAGAGCTATGAGCTCAACCAGTTGCATGGCTGCAACAGGTAGGGAGGGCTGGACTAGGACTGAGCCAGAAAGACTCGAGCTCAGGACCTGAGCTGAAGCTGGGGCTGGCAGCTGAATCTGGGCCAGTGTCTGGGATGGCACTGGGGCCTGGATTAGGACTGGGGTGAGGGACCATTGTGAGGGTCTGGGCCTTAAGCTGGAGCTAGGCCAGGGCTAGTAAGGACTGAAAGGCTTGGAGTCCAGAGGAGCTGGGAGGAAGATGGGCACCAGGGCTGGCCGAGCTAGGGGCCAGGCAGTCCCAAAGATTGGCCCCCAGCATTATGTAGGGAAAGAGACTCAGGGCACTTTGCTTCTTTCTTTTCTTCTTCCTCTCTTTATTTTATAAAGTTTAACTGCTTTATTGATACATAATTTACACACCATACAATTCAACCTGTACATTTTAACTACCTTTCTTGATTTGCAGACAAATAAACCTGATGCAGCCCACCTGCTCCCCTTCCCCTAGGACACTCCAATTACCAATTTCTAGTCTATACAGGCAGAGTCCCTTCAGTATATACAAATCTACATCAGGAATTAGTCTTTAAATTGCAAAGAAAAATATTAGTCATGGGCAGAGAAAGCTGACACCCTAGGCAGATTTTATCTTGGTCTCCAGCTGAGGGGAGAAAAAATTGCCAAGGTTAAGTTTCCAGGAGAGGCAAAACCTAATCAGTGAGCAACCTTGTAACCAGGATGATATAGTTATTGCTCCTTTATGCTGGGTTTGGGCCATAGTCATCAGGACTATCCTCTCCCTCTGATTAGAATGCCCTTAGTAGCAGTTCTGTTTCTCATTCCACCAACCCAAGGTCTAGGTGGCAAGAACTAGGGCATTTTCAATCACTCTGAAGTGTGCAAGTACCTAGAAATCTGCAGAGATTGAAGACACTCTCAATAAGTTCTTGTCCATTCAAGACAGTAAGAATTCCAGAATTCAAGTCTGCCCAAATTCTCTTTTCCTGCATTATAATTTCGGGCCAGGGGGCAATTTCTTCTGTTCTGGCTGGATTTAGTTCTGAGTCTGAGAAAGGGTCTGCAAACCTAGATCAACAATAAAATGTTATCCTCTCAGCCCTGTCCCTAAGCCACCAGGGTACTGAAGCCAGACAGTGGCTGCCTGGGTGCTGCTGTGTCCCAGCTGCCTGACCTCTGACTTCCCCTGGACCCCAGTCCACACCACTCTCCTCATCAGTCCATGCCTAATATGGGCAAGGATGTGTGACCCCCAAATAGGAAGTCTCCAGATGCAAATGTGGGTAGGACAGTGGGCTCACCCCCATGCAACCCTCCCCCCAGCGACCTGAAGACTAAGTTGCTCACCCTGAAGGTGCAGAAAGAGGCCCAGCTTGCCAGTATCCACAGCTTGAAGGCACAGCTGCCACAGCTGCTGAAACACCAGAGCTGCACCCTCACCAGCATCCAGCACAACCTACAAGCTGAAAGCAGCAACTCCAGCATTCTGCAGCAGAGGCAGCACCAATTCCTGGAGAACCTGAAGCAGCTCATGTGCCTGGTAGACCAGAGCCCAGGTGAGTAACCAAGGTGTGCAAGGCAGGAGGCTGAGGAAGAGGACAGGAGCCAGGAAAGAGCCCTACTTAGCCTCCAGGGTTACTCTTGGCCTGGACCTATCCTGGGGAAGGCCACACCCTCCTGGCCACTACACAATAGAAAAAAACATAAACAGCAATAATAATGGTGAGAGCAATGATCCTAAGAGAAGCCATATTCTACCTTCTGACTTCACATGTGCTTGTGTCTGCCCCATCCCACCCCATACCTAGCTTCAGTTTCCCCATCTATTCCATGGAGGTGATGGTGATAACAAGGACAGCAGCAGCCCAACTGACAAATTTGGCTTCTAGGAGTCACTCCTTAGCCCTGCTTGCTTGGCCTTCCCCTACTCCTCCCCAGGCCTCAGTTTCCCCCATAGGATGAGGATGTGGGACTCAGTGCACCCCAAGGACTTCTCTCCTGTTAATGTCCCACCCCTAACCCCAAGAAGACCACACCTAAGACAAGAGGCCTCCCAGCCCAGCTTGAGAAGGGAGCCCAGTACCCTACCTGCTCCCCAGAACTCACCCACTGTGGCCCACTTGGAGGCCAAGGCTTCCTGATTCCAGATTCACTCACTCAGTCAACAAACTTTGATTCCTCACCTACTGGGTGTGAGGATGCAGCAATGCACACAGGCTGCCCTGTCTCTTGCAAATGTACCCAGCCCCTCTGCAGGCCTCAGAGGAAAGGAGGAAACATTTCTTTGTTGAGTGCCTATGGTGTACCACATGCTCTGCTAGCAGTGTTCCTGAAGCTCCCACAGCAGAGCTGGCCTAGGGACTGTGCTAAGGAGAGGGGACTTTAATCTGAGCCCATAGAGGACATGGTGGATTGGACAGGATGGGCCTCATCTTAGGGAGTCGAGAATGGCTGGGTGAGAAGCAGGCCAGAGAGAGGCTCCTATTGCTGCTGGGTGGTCATGGGGGAGCCTAGAAGCCTTCAAGGACCAGGAATCCAGCAATTGAGACGGGAGTCCAGGCACCGTGTTGATAGGAACTTGGGGCAGAGGACCCCACTGTGGCTCCATCCTAAATCCAGCAGGCCCAAGGAAGCCACAGGCAGGAGATCTGGGTGCCTTCCAACCCACAAGATGTGGAGTGACCAGAACCCATTAGGGACCTGTGCATGGCAGCGGGACTGCAGAATAACCCCCACGTGTGGGATCTGTGGCTGAGCCCAAGCACAGGGCTTACCTCACTCCATAGACTTGCAGCTATTCTGATATTCAGTGTCTGCTCACCCATGGTGGGGAGGCGGTGATGGCCCTTCACCATGGGCATAATTAGCCCAAACACCCTCCACTGTCACTGGGAAGGATTCTTGTGGGGTACTTTTGCCCTGTGATGGAAACTCTGTGGGCATAAATCTGAGGGTCAGGTGGTAGGAAGGGAGCATAGCCTCTCAGCAGAGTTCCAGCCCTGACTCCATCACTGGCTAACACTGGGACTTTCCATACTCTTTCAATTTCCCAGATCCTCATATTTCCTCACCTGTGAAATGAGGATGATAATCTCACAGAGCTCTCGCTCTGAGAATGAGATGAGACTATGCACTGGAAGGGGCTAAGCAAGGTGCCTGGGGCCTAAAGAGAGCAAAACCGGTATGAATTACCAGCCCAGAGACTCACAGGGAGCACAGGCTGGGCTCACACTGTGTTGTGTAGCCATACAGTACAGCCTATTTTTATGTCTCACCTCCCTTCCAGTGGTTTCTGTAAAAGCAAACAGTCACCTAAACACCCTACAATACAACTGTGATAGTTAATTGACTTTTGTCATTGTTGATACTGATATTTTTGATGACCATAGAAATTTGCAGTGCATAGAGTGGTGGTTGGAAATCTTGGACCAGCTCCTGGCTTGGCCCCTGCCTAGCTGGGGGAAATGCGGACTGTCCTGTTTGCTTCTGTGCCCGCACCTTCCTCCTGCTAGCCTGGACTCCAGTTCCCATGGACCATGAGAAATTGGGTACAGCTGGCAGGTAGACAGGGGAGACCCCTACCCAGGAAAGTTACCCGCAGTTCCACAGTAACCAGTGTTCTTCCTGGGCACAGCAGTCTGGGCGCCTTGGCCTGGTCCTCGAGGCCAGCTAGGTCTGCTGAAAAAGCCTCCTCTCTGCACTCTTCCTTCCCTGACCTCTCTGTGCCTGCCTTGCCCTACCTCAAGCAGCCAGAGAACTCCTGCAAAGGCTCCCCACTCATGGTGTGAGTCAACCTGTCCCTCATAGCCCTGTGCCCTGCTCACACTAGACTGCCCACCTTGAAGCCTTTACCAGCTGTTCCCTCTGCCGAGAACACCACCCCTTCTACACCCAGGAACACCTGCTCACTGTTGATTCCTAGCTCTAGGAAACTTTCCCAGGTCTGGCTCTTCTCTCCATCCCTGCACCTCCCCAGGACCAGGACCTGCACACAGCAGGCAGGCAAGCCCACTCTGTCCCTTCCCTCTCCTTGCTCATCTCCAGCTGACTTTTGCTTTGTCCCATTATTGCCTCCACAGGTGCAGCTGAGCAGGTATTCCGAGACTGTGAGGAGATCCATAGGTTTGGAGTCAATAAGGATGGCGTCTACACCATCCACATACCCAATCTGAACCAGGCCAAGAGGGTGAGGAGGATCCTAGCATGTGGAGACTGAGGGGAGCTGAGCCAAGTGCTGGTGAGATGAACCCCCATCAGAATCGAGCTTTGTCCAGTATCTGAGATGCCAGTGAAGTGGGGGCATCCTGCCTTGGGAATGTCCTGCCTTCTGCAGCCCCCATCCAGGCAGGTGTCAGACCTTGGGGCAAAACAGAATTCAAAGTAGAAGTGCCACCTTCCAGAGCGACCTCTCACTGGGGTCACAGGAAATAGCTCTGTGCTGCTGAAGGTCATGCTCTCTGAACAAGTAAACCCTGCAATTCCAGAGGCTCAGCACAAAGAGGTTTATTTCCAGTTGAAGGCAGAAATAGGAGCTCTGTCTCATACAAGACATTAGTGACTGGGCCACCATCTTCAGTGAGTGGCTCCCAAAGTGGCTCTAAACTCACAGGTCCAGCCGTCAGGGTTGGAGGGGAGCATGGGTGTCGGGTAAGGCTTGGGGCAGCCAGAAGGGGAAGGGAAACAGAGCAACTGTCCAGCGGTCCTGCTTCAAAATTCCATCTGCACTTTCCTTTCAAGCTGAGTGTGTCATGGAGAAGCTTTATTTGTCCCCAGAGTGACTTTCACATTTCTCACACATCTGCTAAATGGCTCTTTTAATAAAGAGATCAACTGAGGGTCCTGTGTTGGCAAAAATGTCTAAGTAGAACTTCGTAATATTTTGTTTCATTATTTTTACAATCATGTGAATAAGGCAAGTGTTACTACTGTTCCATTTATTGTACTGATAAGAGTCCTTGTAAAATATATTTCAATGTCCTTAAGTATAAGAAAGGACACCATTTTTAATGAAAATATGCTTTGTAAAAATTAAGGAAATGTAGCTATTGTGGAATTCAGGAAGATGTGAATGGCTGAGATGTGGGGGGCACTCATGGAGACACAAAGCCTGGCCAGGGGGGAAAGAGATCTGGGCTCAACCCTCAGCTTCACTTTGAAGCAAGCTCTTCCCCTCTGAGCCTCCTGCACACGCTGCCACCCCACAACAGGTGGCCTGCTTCTCTCCCTCAGCTGACCTTTCTACCTCAGAGCCCCTACTCCTTCCTGCTGTACTCTTCCCTGAAAATGTCACCTTTCTCTGGCAGATACACCGTCATTCAGTGCCACATTGAGAAGCCACCTCCTCCAGAAGGGTTTCTGGGGCTCCTTCTTGTAGATGTCCAAATGTTCACATTCAGTTGTCTGCCTGTCCTGTCATAGCCTCCTCCAGACCAAGCCAGCCTGAGGCCTGATTTGTCTCTGATTCATCAATGATTCAGCCAGTACAGGGCCAGGCACCAAGTCTGCATTCATGGAATATTGAACTTGTACTGAACTGATAGGAAAAATAGAGTGTGAACAATAGTTAGGTTGAAAAATTTAGTTGTGATAGATGGTAAGCTCTTTGAATGAAAGGATTCTTTTTGTCTCACCCATGTGAGCATCCACTGTGCTTTGAACAGAGCCTCACATATGGTAGGTGCTCACACCACTGTAGATTGAAGGACAGCAGTAATAGCATTTTCTGAGTCTAACCCCTTATTAATCATCTACACTTAATCCTTCCAGCAGCCCTGCAATTTTAAAGAGTGGGAAGCCTTCATTCACTTTTCTCCTGGTATGGGCTGGGCTCTCTTCTAGACATTCACATGACCCATCTCATTTAATTCTCACAATAATCCCAGTTTGCAGAGGAGAAACTGAGACACAAAGAGGTTAAAGTATGAATGCCCCCTTTTACAAGTGAGGAGAAGGTGGCTCTGGGAGAGGATCACTGGCCTGCACTTTAGGCAATGATTGCAATCGATAGGACATTGGAGCCTGGAGCTTGACGATGCTGTTGACCTTTTGATCTGCAGGGCGGGGCCGGCGGGGGAGTCCAACAGCCAAGTCACCCTTGTGCTGCCCTGGACCTGGCTTCTGCTGTATCCAGGGATTCCAGCTGCTCCCTCTTCCCCTAGGTGTTCTGTGTGATGGGCACAGATGGAGGCACATGGACCGTCATCCAGCACCGGGAGAACAACAAAGTGGATTTTGAACGGAACTGGGAGGATTACAAGCAGGTGACACTGCTGCCCTGGGGAGGGGCTTTACAGCTCTGAAGCCTGGTGCAGGTGATAGGGTGTTGGCAGGGGGAGGGGACCTGCTTCATTCTCATCCTTTCCCAGAAAATATAATCACGTAAGCCACTTACCCTTAACCAGATTTGCCCAGTGTCCATACACTTCCCAGGACCCCTTAACCTGAAAGTGAACCTATTTTTGAAATTTGTAACATACATCCTAGGAATGAAATTTTAACACTTGTTTCACTTTTTGGAAAAGATATACATTGCTAAGTTTATTTTTTAAAAGAATACTAAAGAGAAAACCCAAAAGAAATATCACCCACACACATTGCTTAAAAAATTTCTGTCTCCTTTTATACATCTGTGACATCATCTGCAGGACAAATTCTTTTTTTAAAAAATTAATTTTATTGGTACATTTTAGGTATGCAATATAATGACATTCATCATTGGAAATTTGCACCTTTACATAATCTCTCCTGGTTCTTATTTTTTCCCCATTCCCCTGCCCTCCCTTCAACTCCTCCATCCCTCCCTATTTACAAAGACTTTGTTTCCATTTTTTCATTTTCTTATATTAATTCCATTCCCTTCTTTTCTTTCCCCTACCGTTCCCACTTCCCCTTCCCTTTGCCCCTTTTTTTCCTATTTCACATTATCTATTATACCTCTTAGTCCTTATTTACACTTTCAGTTTCTCACACTAGAAAAACTATTTGGTATTTACATGTGTATCCTATTTATTTCACTTAAGAGTATCGCCTCAATGTGCATCCACTTAGCTATAAATGTCTCTAATTTCTCATTTTTTTATGTCTGAGTAGTAGTCTGTTTTATTTAAAAAACACATTTTCTTTATCCAGTCTCCAGTCGATGGAGACAGGTCAAATTCTTTCATATGGAATCCCTGATTCAAAGACCACATGCCTTTTTCAAGATGAAATATACTGCCTGATTGCCTTCCAGTTTTTTTAAATTAAATATTGAGTAAAGGATTTTTCACAAGGTAACTTAAATGGTATTAACCTGTTCAAAGTAAAAGAAATAGGAAAGATAACCACAAGGACATGCAGTAATGTCAACCCTTAGAAAGTGGCACCTCTTCCCACCAGTGGGGAGCAGGACTTCAGGGTTCCCTGTCATTGGTGCTGAATTATTGTTCTGCAAAGGGCTTTGGTTTCCTGCTCCTGGACACTGGTGACAAGATACTCCACGTGCTCTTAGCTTTTCATACATTTTATATTGCTGAAATTTTGCAATGCCTGCCTTGTCCTTGAACAAAGTCTGCTCTATCATTTATGTAGAGCATTTATGATGAAAATCTTTATTGTTTTTGTACTGAGATTTAACAGAGGAGCAGCTAAGTGCACAAATATTAAATCTAAGGCTCAGTGGGTTTCACATATATGCTTACCCATGGCACCCTCTGCAAGATAGATAAGACAAACCTTCCAGCACCCTAGAACCTCCCTTGTGACCCCTCCCGGTCAACAGCCCACTGAATGTATTTTATATTCTCATTTTTATGGCCACAGTTTAGTTTTGCCTGTTCCTAAACTTTGGAGAAATGTGATTATTTTTAATACACTTTTATATTTACAAATGTAAAGTCTTTTTCCTCTGGGAGGTGGAGGTCTGCTACCCCAGACTGCTCACAGTGATCATTAGGCACAGCAGTTTGGGGTGTGGCCTTGGTGCCTGGCCCAGGCCCCTTGCTTAGTCAGGGTCCTAGCCTCCCTCCTTGGCACTCAGCCGACTCTATCCTCCCCCCACCCCATAGGGCTTCGGAGACCCAGGGGAGCACTGTCTGGGCAACGAGGAGGTGCACCAGCTCACCAGCAGCGCAAAGTACTCTCTGCGTGTGGAGCTAAAAGACTGCCACGGCAACCCAGCCCACAGCAACTTCAAGCATTTCCAGCTGGGCAGTGAAGAACAGTTTTACAAGTGGGCTTGGGGCCCAGATGGCGGGCAGGCTGAGGTCCCTGGTGGGTGGGCTGTGTTCCAAGGCTAGAGCCTACAAAGTCTGTTCCAAAGGTCAGTCCCAGGGCGTCTCCATTTTCTACCATCTGTCCCCCATTTGGGACCACATCACGGGATCTGGAGAAGGCTGGTTAGCACGCAGCATGCCCTGACCCCTGGGTGGGGTGGAGAGGAAGTCACCGACACTGGCACCAACATCTCCAGAGCAGGAAGGGACCTCCCAAGGGCATTCACCCCAAGTCAGTCACTGACACAGACCCAGAGAGAAGTGTCTTGTCCAGTCTGTGCAGTGACCTGGGGTGAGGTGGAAATGACTGCAGGATGTCCACAGACAGTAGACCAGGAATCTGTCTGGCCCTGTGGCAGCTCTCACTGGAAAGCTCAGTGCTTCTAAAGCAGAACGGAGTTGGATATGAGGATACTGCAAAATTTTCACGTTTCCTCACTCATTTCACAGTCTGGTCCTTGGTATGTTTAGGGAAAGGAACAAGCATTTCCTGAGCACCTGCTGTGTTCCCGACACTCTATTTAACTCCTCCCACAACTCTCTGGGGTGTGCATTACTAGGCCTACTTTAGTAAAATGATTCTCAGGCACTGAACTTAAATCATCTGGCTAGAGGGGAATTTAGATAGCCTAGACTTGAACTCAAATCTCCCTGCTGCCCCAGCTCATTCACCTCCACACCATGCTGTTGCATCTCTGAGGAACTCTCTGATCCTGATAAACTTGGATTCTGATTGACTTTAAACCAGGACTGAATGGACCTGCAGACTCCAATGCACTAGTCTGTGAGTTGCTCACATGATATCTGTCTCCTCACATGATGCCAAAATTTCCTCCTTAGCACAGTCTCTTCCACCAGCTAGAATGCCCCCCTTGACGGGGAGGTCACATCCTCCCAAGGAATCTCTAAATGACTCTGTCCCCTTGCACTTGTGACTAATGCCATTGTGAGGACTTCCCAGTGATGTGTCCCCCCACCCTCTCTTCTTAGTGAATGCTCTTCTTGCTTCAGTGAGGTGGCTCTGATAGTCCTCTTTAGGGAACATACACAACTAGCTTAACTTGCTCCTTAGTGCTGCATATAGGACTAAGTGTGCCACCCAGGGCTGGCCAGGCAGGGCTCAGCTGGAGCCCTGCTCCTCACAGCTGCCCAGTGAGTAGCCACAACAGCTACTGGCTCCTACTTAAGTCACTGACTACTGAAGCACAGACTGAAATCCTAATGCCACCCTTGTCTACCTGAGTGACTCCAAGCCATTCCCTCCCAGTTGTTATCTGTATAATGGGTGCCCTAGGCTGGAGTTTGCATGAAATGTTATTCAGAAAGCATGAACACACTGCCTGCCCACTGATACCACTCACCAAATAGTGTCACAACTGCTGTCCCCCACAGCAGTCCTCATGGCCTTGGCTGGCCCATTCTCTGTGAGCCAAGCCCAGCTGCCCAGCTTCCTGCTGTTCCATCCCTGGGCCTCTAAATGATAAGACCATGGGAGGCCATGCAGGCAGCCCTCCTAGTCTTTCCTACAAGTAGCCATTGAGTCTCATCTCCCTGACCCAATTCTTGGGCAGGAACTTCTGTGGTCCTAAGTCCAGGATCTGCCACTTACATGCCTTGAGGCAGAAATATCAGAAGAAACATCTCATTCCACTAAAGAACACAGACCTTGGAGCCAGATTGCCTAACACTGAATCCCACCACTTATTTCTTTCATCACTTTAATACAGTTACTTGATCTCTCTATACCTCAGTTTCTCCATCTGTAAAATGTAATATCTACAACATAAGTGATATAATTTATAGTAAGCCTCCTAGACTGTGGAAAATGTTAAGTAAAAGTTGGAGAGGTACAAATGATAAATTCAAAGATAAAAATATCACATTTCTGCCTCCATGCATAAGTCTACATTATTTATGTCCACCATGCAACCATATGCATGTGCGTTAAATTTGAAAGCTCTTGTCCTGCTCTCATATGTGAATTGCATGGTCTCCTTATGGCTCTTTGTCTGAGCCTCAGAGAGCTCCCTAGCTCCAGGCTGCTATGGGCAGGCCTCAAAGGGCCCTCACTACCTGACTCTCTACAGAGCTCTAAGTAGCAGGACATTGAACACTTGCTCTGTGCCTGCTTGGGCTGGCCTGGTCCTTCAGGAAACCTGCTACCAGTTTGGCGGGGGGGTGTCCACAGTCACCCCCAAACCCCAGAAAGATGACAGCTGCCAAAGGGGAAAGCATGAAAGAGGCTGGAGATGCTATATACTCAAGGAGGACTCTTGGAAGGAGGTGATACCAGTCATGAGTGGACTCTGCTCATATAGAAAGTAGATAGGAAGGGCGCCCCAAGGAATTGGCATATTCTGAAAAAAGGCAGAGAGGGCCTCCAGCTAGGGCACACCTATCCCAAGCCTGAGATAGTCTTACAAGGGCTCCTGGGATCATAAAGAGTGTATGATCATTCAGGAAAATCTTGAGAGACCAGGATACTGGAAACCATGGACTAGGGGGGCATGGAGAGGATAAGAGACACTGAGCCCCAGGATCCACCCTCCAGTATCAAGCATCTCTCAGGGCAAGAATTTCATGGGGAAGCCCGGGGTAAAGATGCACAGTGAGCAGGTGGAGGGTGGGCGTCCAGGTGGGAGGGGCTCCCTTGTTTGTTAGACACAGCAATGGGAGCTCCTGATGCCCAGCAGGGGTGCATGCAGACCTTGTAGAGGAAGTGTGGCCCTCAGGAGCCACAGATGAGTTGCAGGCACACACAGTGACCCAGCACCTGCTTCCCAGAGGCACACACACATCCAGACCTGAATGCAAATGCAGGCAGCACACAGAGATTCACAGGTAGCTGCACAACCAATCTGCACTGTGGAGGGGTCCTCCACACTCCTGGGTATCCACAGTTCATACACATTCACGTGTATCCCACACTCTGAGCACAGACACATGTGCAAACGTTTCTCACAAAAGCCCTCCCAGGGAAACACATCCACAAAGGCCCAGATCCATGGGCAGATCCTGGAATACACATCTGGGCCACAGTGGGTCTTTCAGCACTGACTCAGCACCCGCACACACATCTACCCTCAGGCACTGAGAACCATATCCAGATGTCACAAAACAGACACACAGGCTATGTGGACGCATGGATAACACCTTACACCTGACATGTTTACTTGTGGCTTCCTCAGACCTGAGCTATAAATGTGCTTAAAGTGCACCTGAACTGTGGGTGAGTTGGGGTGTCCTGGTCTATAACATGAGGTCCTCAGAGGTTACAGCCCCATTCTAACTCCCAAGGGGGAGGGATTGACATAACTGAGCCCACCCAGGGGACCCCTTAATGGCCACAAGGAGAACCCAGAACCATAATAGTGGCTGGGGAGCCAGTGAGTCTCCTCCAGGGCACTGTGGAGCCAGGCAGGTCTTTGCAGAAGGCTGTACCACACCAGCTCCAGACCTCAGGGTGGCATGTTTAAGGGCGCAGAAGGATATCATGATGACCGTCATGGCCATTGGGACCCAGGGAGCCACGCTCTTTCTCACTCCAGACAGACAGAACCCATGAATAAAAACTGAGGGGACAGCACCAGCCATACTCCCAGACCCACTTTCCATTGGGTTGCACCAGGGGCATCTCCCCTGCCATGGGGACAAGCACTTCCTTGAGCCGCCCTGGCAACACCTGCAGTCCATTCATCTCTATCCCATGGGAAATTAACAGCTCCCAACGGGCTTCTACCCCTGCTGCAGGCGCAGCCCCTCCATGCTATCTCCCAGCCAGGCTGAGCCATACTCTAGGGGCCAAGTAACAGCAAACACTAAGTGTGTCCAGTGTTCACTGCCCTGCACAATCTACACACTGGTGCCACCAAACAACACAATGAACAAGGTCACTGTCAATATTTCTGTGGTTGCCACACTCACAGGTGAAGAGACTGAGGCTCAGGGAAGTAAAGCAATCTTCCCAAGGCCATGCAGCCACCGAGTGGCAGAGCTGGGGTTTGAATCCAGGTTAATGGCCATCAGCACCAGGCAGCCTTGGCTGTTCCTGCCAGGACTGCAGAGTCTGGCCAAGGAATATAACTCCCCCTCCCCCAGCTGCCTGCTGATGTGCAGGTCACAGGGCTGGGGGTGCCCTGGGAGTAGCTCTGTGTGGGCTGCTTTGCTTACAGAGGGCTTCCTGAGAGAGGCAAGTGGACACAAGGAGTTGTGAAGGGAGCAGGGTGCAGGATGGTGAGTGGATGAGGAAATGTATGTGGGTCCCCAGTCAGGCCACACCAGGCCAGAATATGACCCTGACCCTGCTTGGTCCTAAGACCTTGGGCAGGTTCTTGTGCTCTTGGGATCCCATCTCCTTGTGTGGAAAGGGTGTCATGAGGCACAAATGAGAACGAGTCAGCCACTGCAAAGGGCTTTGGACAATGCCTGCCCCCCAGTAGAGGCTCCAAAACTGTTAGCCGTTGTCCTTGTTATGGTCATTGTGACTCCTCTCCAAGACCAATTGATGAGAAGAAGAGGGCCCAGCACATAGTAGGTGGTTTGTCCTTTGAGGGCAGCAGGAGGAGGACAATCTGGAGGAAAATGGCCATGCAAAGGTCCCCCTCCAAGGACAACAGGAGGGAGACCGAGTCTGGGACAATGTTCCCAATGGAAGCCTTTGTTAACATGGCCCCAACCTAACTCTGCACTCCTCTTCCATCACTACCTCTGGGCGGCCATCAGGATTTTTGTTAATGGGTACAGTGGTGTATCATCACACCTGGGTCACCTGGTCCTGCGGAAGAACACCTTCAGCACCCAAGATGCAGACCATGACAACTGCTTCTGCAGTTGTGCATCAATTATGTCTGGAGGTGAGTTAGGGTCAGATGTACCTTCCCCATCAGAGTCCTAAGGTTCCCTTCAGGCCACCCCTCTTCCTAACCCAGAGGTCAGGGTGTGGCAGGGGACGGCTCCCCACTGACTCTGGCTCAGGCAGTGCTCCTCGACTGAGACAGAGGTCAGAGAGGGGGCAGGTGGGATGA